GTTTAGTACATTTATAAGTAATGAAAACTGTTAGATGAACAACTGAATTCCTGTTTAAATCAAGTTTCCTTTGATTTCAATGTAACATAATATAGTTATGCAAAATAAAAGAACAAATATTCATAAATTTTTATTTTGGAATTTTTCATCGAAAAATAATATATTTTATATTATATTTATATTATATATTTATACTAAAATATTATACATACAATGGAAATAGTTTTATTTTCCTACAGAATGCATTTTACTGGTTTTAGTGTACATAAGTTTGATTTAAGTTTAAGTAATAGTGTATAATGCATGTAATGATTTAAGTATTAGGAAAGCCGCTTCGATGGAAGGGTTTACGATGGGTTCTCACTTAGCTTCTCCATCTTGTTTACAACCTATCTAAATATCACAAGGAACACAGCAATAAGGAATCATGATCGTGATCATAAATCGGCGATGAATTGGATCTAAAGGCTATTAACATTAGACCAAGATGAACGAAAATTCTTGTAATTCTTACAACAGCCTCTTCTAGTCCCTTCATCAAAATTTGAAGGTCAATCTTGAAGGACAAACTAAGTCGGTGAATCAGGTTGAAAGTGGAATCTACGCGTGGTGACTGTAATTAATATTCAGTTGTACTCTGAGAAAGAGGCCAACTGTAGATTAGGTTATTAAATGATCTGTAACAAAAATTTGGAAAAAAATTGTAATGTCTCTAAGTCTCGGAGACGATATCGAATGATGCATTTTATTTGGGAAAATTTTGAAAAATATCAGTCAGTTTTATGCATTTTGACATTCAGATCGATTAATCTTACTATGAACTGCAAACAGTTAAAATAGTTGAAAAAATAGTTGTAAATCAGTCTTTCGTAATTTTTATTTTGTAACTAGCGTAATCCTAAATATTTTTACACACGTTTCAGAATTTATACAACTTGTACAAATCTAGGAAACATATTTAAAAAATTTTCAATACAGGCTCGAATGAAGAAGCATATTTTTAGTATCTTTCTGCGACTTTCACGAATCCGAGTTTTAAAAATTATCTGTATACGTCATCCACGAAACTAGTCCTTCTAATTTTTCGAAAGAATTCAAGTCGTCTTGTCTAAGGTTGCAAAAGTTATTCGCTGTAAAAGAATGTCTGGATATTAGTAGATGTTTCTGTATATGATTGTGTTCATCTCGGATGTCCTTACACAAGAAATGAACGAAGATGAGGACGACAAGCGCGGCATTGGTGAAGGTCACAATTAACCATGGAGAAAGTCTATCTGCTACCTAGGCCATAGCAATCTTCTCTGCTCAATACATTGTAATTTTAATAAGTCACATAGTTATCCCGTAACGGTGATAGTTCAGTCGTCCCTGCGTAGAGCTTCGAGGTTCGTTCGCATTTGACTTTCAAACCCACGTGAATATTTCTGTAGTCTTCTGCACGCATTCATTTTCTCGGTTTCAATGAAACGGATCGCTGAATGTATTTAGGGACGTTCCTAGAAATGTTCGCGTAAAATTAAATTTGTTGAAAAGTTCAACGTTGCGCCTCACTGTCAGTTGTTTTAAAAGAATGCTTAATGGTAGGTATTGCGGACGAATGATCTAACTAGCAACAATTTAAAGCATCAAATGTAGTATATAGGGGTAATTATTGTTCGTTAAATATAAGAATGGATTCGGTGTACAAGCGACTTTGTTTTATTGGATCACTGATCAAAAATATTTTGGATAGACAATCAAAATTTGATTGTTAAGAATGTTTTCACAGCTCTTTTATTGTTTGTGGCACACGGTTGTTCTTTAAATAATGACACGTTTGAGGCATTGAGAATGTTTAATTAATAAAGTACAAGTTGACGTTTCCTAGTTTTTGTAAAACTAACTAAAACATGCTATCTGAGGTATGGACGTTTAACAGATATGTAAAGGAATGCAACTCTCAAGTTGTTTTACTTCATATTTAATCAAAATTCGAGTTACATTATTTAAAAAGATTCGGCTTAAATTAATATTGTTTATAAAGCGAAAGGTACGACATCTTGAAAGTAAAATGAGATGTTTTGCCCCAGGCATGGCGGTGTTTGTGAACGCTTATGCAAGTATAACATTTCATTAGTGTGCAGACATTAAAATTAATTGGACACACGTTTACTTTTAGTAAGAATTTTATTGGATTGTAAAGAGAATGAAGTGGTACTTAACGCTATCCCTCAAGTTTTAAATGGGCAAAATATAAGAGTGTTAAATTCTTAGTCTATTAATTACTTAGACGTATCATAGTTCATAATAAGCAGCATTTTCTCCTACGGAAGAGAGAAACTATGTTAACACGTTGCATGTCAAAATCTTCACTATTGGGCTAATATCATGATACAATACATTTGTTTAACGTTTCACTATACGAAATATGACGCTTGAGAGCTGGTTTGCATATTCATTACTTGCGCGTGTTTATATGCAAAGGAGGATATTATCTACAAATGAAATTTCTTCGACCTACTTTCTCGTCTTAACAATTTGTTTGTCGCTTTATATTCCGACGTTCGTATTGAAAAATCATTTTCTGGAATCAATCTATAATAAAGTGTTCGAACGAAAACCATTTTTTATCTTAAAGGATGTCATATTTCTTACCCTCAGTTACAGACAGTTTATATAAAACCATTTCTGATGTTTCATATCGTGCGTAGAATGTATTATTTGAATTCTTGAATTTTTTTTTCAAAGAATTACAAATAATGAGAGAGAAGACATTATAATATTATAGTTCACATTAAATGCATGCAATCTAATTTAATATTCGCTTATTCCGACCCTCCCATGGTTCAATTTCGAGTCAAAATTATACAAGTGTTGCAACATCGAAATTTAAATTAAAATTGTATCTGACAAAAACTAAACTTGGTTAATTTTGTCTAATCAATGATTTACCATTAATAAAAGAAGCGTTACTATTAAAAAAAAGAATGAGAATGTATAATATAACTTATCGGACTTGGCCAGATTATATCGATTAGCACAGTTTTGCAATGTATTTGTTTATCACAAATAGTGACACATTTCTATTTTCTGTTTTTTGTGTTAATGTCCAAGTTCAAATATTTGATCATTTGAATTAAAAATGAACATATATATATTGGATTTTTAAATCCCAGAAGAAGTCAAAAAAATAATAATTCAAACAAGAAAATTATGAAGAGCTGAACAAACATACAAAACACGTGCTCGTACGATTACAGTTCAAAGTGATATAATATATTATCTAATACTTTTTTATTACTTCCTGTCCTTTCTGCTATTGCAATTGATTGATTAGAATGTACTCACTCGCTGCCAGAAAATTAACGGATTCCATGCTATGAAATGATTATCCAAGAAGGCTCGTATCCTCGAAGCGTGATACTTCTCTGTCATCTTCCGCGTCAGGAGAACAATTATTTTCTTTTGCAACTATATTAGGCGATTCTCAGCAAACGTCTTTCACTGACGATTTGTTACAATCTACAACATAACACATGCCTGTTGCATTACCTTGACGACTGTACATATCTTTGAAAATTTCGAAATAAGAAAATAATGAAGACATTTATTATTCCACAAGTCTTATTCCAAATCTTTTATTTATTAAGGAGGGAGCATCAAGTAACCCTGTTTAAATTAAGATGATTTTCGACAATTTTTTTGTATAGCTTAAAATATTGATGAAACTTTTCGATATTTTCCATATATATTCTTTGATATATTTCAAGATACATCAATTTTATTTTCGTTAACAAAGACGTGACTTTTCCGTAAAATTTTTATTTTCTTTATATTTTCATTCTTTGTGCTCTTTTCAAAAATAGGGTTTAGATTCATACGATGCATAGTTTTATTATGAAAAATCTCCATTTTATTTTTCGTTCCAGAACGTAGAAAAAAAATGTTAGACTACGCGCCGATCAACACCGTCGACCATGAGGTTCATGGAGGACAAGATTCATTATTTCAGTAAAAGTCGATAAAATGTAACGAACAAAAACATTTATCTATCTTAAAATGTCAATGCATTACGTTATCAAAAATTGCCAAAAATCATCCTTGTTTAAACGCTTTACTTGAGCCCCCTCGCCATAATTCCTATAAAATTTCATAGCAACATAATGATTGTTATTTAAATTCCACTTTATATAGCAAAACCAAAATAAAAGAAAATCAATTTATCAGAAAAATCTTCCGAGTTTGGTTACAACAACCCTAATATTTTCTTTTCCACAGTGTGTTCGCCAATCCTGTTCCCTTAGAAACTTCATAAAACTACTTGAACTCCTCTCAATTGCGTCTTCTTCGAGAAGAAATATATCTTCCTCGTTACGTCATTTATCGGAACAGCGTGGAAATCGAAATTTATGAAAGAATCCGGTTGACCAAGACGATTCATAAAAATCGATCGCCTTGCTCACCGAAAGACCATTATTCGTGGCGACAATCGATTCTCGCCGATCCTTGCATTATCCAGGCACGCCGAAAAGGAGACGACACACCGCTACCCACATGGTAATGTCGCAAGCTAAAACAACGGGGGGAGAAGGGGGAAGGTAGAAGGGGGTTACGTAAGTTCACGATGCTCGTCTCGCTCGTAAAAAGCAGCGGCACGTCGTCGGGATCGCCGTACGGTGAAATTGCATTAAAAAGCCCGCGGTGGACGGTCCCGATCGTTTCTGTTGCTTTTGTTTCCATATTTTTTCCGTGTCGATGGGGGTGTGGATCGGTTCGCGGTTAGAACTGCTCTAGAGGGAGACGTGGCAGTCCCGAAATAAACTTTCTCGGGTTATGTAAAGAGGCTCGCGACTCGCTTGTGCAGAAGACTCGCCGGTATAAAGGTCGGCTGTGCCCCCAACAGTCCAAGAGTTGCTCACGAACTTCACGCCGGCAACGATCGCATCGGTGGCACACACCGACGCTCTATATGCGACGTCGTCTTTTTATCCTGACGGGACGCAAACTTTATATCGCTCCATCGTTCGCACACCGGCGTTTCGCACTTTCTCGTGAGAGCGTCGTCCCGTCGCATCGTCGCACAACCGTCGCCGTTGCAGCCGCGTGCCCCATCGTGTTTCGACAACATGCGTACTCTGGTAAGTGTGTCTTCTTTTGCCTGTCCGCCGCTCTTCGGCTTTCCTGTTACGCCCTCGACTTACTTCTTCTTTACGTTAACTTCGCCTACGTCTCCCGGGGGTAGCTCTCGGAGGGGCCGGCGGCAACTAATTTTTCAGGGGAATCGCGATTTGCTCAACTCTTAGCACCGTTCGCGTTGCAAAAGAGACGTGTTGCATGGAACGACGGGTTTCTTGTCAATACGAAGAGATTGGTAAACTGCGGATCTTTATGCAAATGAACGATTGTCTCTATTGATTTTAGAAAGAGGAGGCTACATTTGCTTTTTCTTCGATCGTTTCGATAAGTTGAGTACTCTGAAATTCTTCTAATCTTTTCAAGATTTCAAATCTAGTCACTTTTGTCATTAATGCATAAAATCCGCAGTATAGTGGTTAGTTATATCTTGGAAATGTTTGTACGAGCGAAGGAAATCATATTTTCTGCTGTTTGAATGATCCGGAGTTTTTGAAACTAGCACTGAACGATTCTTTTATAAGCTTTTATAAGTTCAAAATTTGTTGTAATAAATTTTCCAAATGTAACGATCTCCGATCAAAGAGTAGCAGCAGGATAAATCCGCGCTGAAATGTCGAATGAAACTTGCAATTTCGATCTATTTCTAATGCTTTGACATGTTCGGTACCTAACATGAAACTCGATAATTCCCATAAATTTTAATGAAAGTTTAATTAACGCGTTAACTAGCACACCAGTGTCCATAAGAGACACACAAAATGAAAACAACCTGTTTAATATCACGAGTGTAGACAAAATTTACTATACCAATTATTTATGCAACTTTCACTTCATAAGGTTTAATAAAGTGTGGTTTATTTAATAGATCGTGATGAAAATTAATTTTCATTATGTCGATTTTATATGACTGACATAACGTGGTACCCAAAGTGTTAATGGAACTGAAACTAGAAAGACAAAGTTTACCATAGTGAATGCCACTCTAAATCTTTCTCATTTCAAAAATACTAGTAGAATATTCGAATGTATAACAATGAAAATGAACTTCGAAACTTAATTAGATATTAATATCATCCTTATGTGACCGACGTGACATTTAACGACAATTTGAATGCTTGAGGAAAGCAGGATCTTTGTAGTTTTGTGCTTTTACGTTTCTCGTTTCACGCTTTGTTTTAACGTAGGAGTGAAAAGTAGGGTTGCTCCGTTAATTAGCTGTGGTTCGCCGGTGACCTGTGTGGTAGAGAACGAACTAATCAGTTTCACTGGGTCGCCGTTCGTTTCTGGGTAATGAATTTT